CTTCCACCGTAATCACCTCATCTTTTTCTCTACCTTAGTGTCAGTCTGTCTCTTTTACATATGTGAATTACTTTTCTCTTCTGTTCTCTTCCTCTGTGAAGCCCGCAGTCAACCGACGAGCTAATAATAAGTAACAAAACGCCTGCCATTTTAAATAAACAAATGTTTGGTAACCCAAATTACTTAACCAAAAGGTTTTCCACCAATTATATTATGTAATGGTCCACTCGTTGATTGGTAGAATAGTGACAAAATAATCGATAAACTGAAAGTGTAACGGGTACTCCACTTTCAGCGTACGAAATTTTGCATGAACTTTAATTATACGGATCAATTTTCAGGTTCAATTGTGAGGAGATTTTACCAGCACCCATTTTAGTTGATGATTAGCATCCTAAGGATATTTGGGTGGAGAACTCGTACACTGTGATTTGTAGCTTCCTGAAATTGAGGCACTTCAAGTCATTCGAGTCCGTTCAATTTAAAGCAAAGTTACTTTTATAATTATGTCCTCCTTCAGATCTTGAATGAAAAATTCGGTTTTGTCTATTTCAGTCCTTCAAAGGCATATTTACTTGATTTCTCATTAATATGCCTCCTATTTTAGCATCCCAATGTTGCTAGTTCAAAAGCTTTTTCAACTCCATGAATACAAATTTATTTATTTTATTTATTTCAAATGGTGGAGGTTTTGATAGTCATCATTAGCCCTCTAGCTGACTTCGAGCTTCACAGAGAGAAGGAGGCACATTAAAGTAGGAAAAATTAGAGAGGAGGAGTAGAAGAGTGATTCACAGATGTAAGAGAGACAGACAGACAGACACAAGGGTAGAGAAAAAGGTGAGGTGAGTACTGTGGAGGTGGTCGAATATGACATATAGTGGGGTCGTGAGAGTTCGAAGTCAGAAGTCAATTGCCGAATAATAGACAGGGTGCGCCGCGTGGAAGTGGGTTTATCGCACACACCCCTCAACTGAAATGGAAAAGATGATTGCTGAAGAACCTTTAAAATTCTATGGTATTTATTAGCATGGCATCAATTATGACATCTACGGTAAATTTAATTATTTTTACACTTTTTGCTAATTTTGTTTATCATTGCTGTTCACTGAAATCGATTCCACGTGTGTGATAGACTTACCTCCACGTGGTGCACCCTGGGCAACGTATAAGCATACGGCAAAAAAGTCTATTACCTGGCAGTTGACTTCAAACTACCATGACCCCAGTGTATGTCATATTCGACTACTTCCACAGTACTCATCCCACCTTTTCCATTTTATCTACCTTCGTCATCGATACACTCTTCTGTTCCCCCCCCCCCATCTTGAATCTTTTACACTTTGATGTTCCTTCCCCTCTGTGAAGCCTGAAGTCAACTAAAGGGCTAATGATAACTATCAAAACGCCTGCCATTTGATATAATAATAATTCTTCGCGATGACACCGAGGGTGGCTGGGAAGTTGAACACCTTGAGTGATGCGGGATTTGCCTCCCCGATTTGATTAAGGAATGGACTAATTTTGATGACCTTAACTGGTTACAAATTAGATTTCATTTCTTGTGCTGTTTGCTGAACTTAAGACCTTTTAATGTTCACCGGAATAAATGTGTGTCTTACCACCTACAAAAGTACGTTTCCATTTGCCAAGATCTCAATTTTTTGTTTTAAATAAATCAATTCCCGTTTGTTTTATTTGAACAAAAAAAATCACGTGCAAATCTTAACAAAGTAAATTGTGAATTAATCCAAAGGAATTCTAATTGATATAAAAAACTGCACACATTGAAGTGACCAGAATTGCGTTTGCAGAAAGTAGGAAAATTCATAGCGTTTAAAGAAAAACGCATAGCGTTACGTCTGGAAATAATGACGTGCTGAAATCGGTGATCACGTGAGGGCCTTCCAAATGTAAGCTCACCTCTGTCACCACCTAGTGCGTTGTTCTTGTGGCCGGAGTTCGTCATTGGTCATTGGTGCTTACTTCATTTCTACTGTTTATAGCAATAGTGCAGTTTGTAGAAAATCAATAAAAGTTGTTCAATGTGAAGTTTAAACTAATGTTGGTTTTTTCGCCAAATTTCACTATTGCTATTGCCTCGTTGTTAATAGAAGATCTTGTCTGATTTGATTTGTCTAATGAATGGCATTCTGAATGACTGTCCTAGTTAAAACTGCCCTCTAAAACTCAATTAGCGATGAATAGATGGATGGAAGGAAAGATCACTTTCCTCTTTTTACCCAAAGAATGGAACTTGTTGTCAATAAACAGTAAAGTGAACTCTGAACAACTGTTGCAGGAATAAATTTTGTAGGAGAGACGCCGGAACGTTTGCACTGAATGTCTCTCTCTAAGCAGGCGGGGGTGTGTGTGAGAGAGTGAGTGAGTGAGTGTTAATGACAGTCAAATTGATAAAATTCTCCCCGATTAGAGAGGATTGAAATTTCATAATAAATGACCTACCGCATCGCTTTAGTTACCCCCCCGGGTGTGGAATGCTGTACGTGAACTAGGTTTGTGCGATCATTCCAACACAGAAGTAATTTTGCACAACTTCGGTTTAATTTATTTGGCTTATCTTCAATCTGATTTGCGATAGAAGCCAGTACTCTGACCAGTGGTCTTTAGCACGTGCCAGCATCATAAATATTAAAAGTTTCGAGAATTGCAGACTCGCAAAGTAACAAGACTATGCTTACTTACATAATATAAATCGCATATATCGTGACACTTTTGTTTCCACTAATTTGAGAAAAGTCAGTGCTTTTAGTCTGTACGCTTTCACCTATTAAAGCGCCACAAATTGATAGGCTAAGGTAAAAATTGAATATTATTGCCAAGAATTGTATGCGTCGGGTTGATAGAGAAGAACTTTTGACTTCTTCTGCCACTGTCTCCGGTTTATGGAATGACACGTTTTATGGCAGTTTTATGAAAGGTGTCTGAAGGCTAAGTTCCAATCTTCAACTGACCTTCATGTCAAAATTAAGCCTTCTTTTGCCAACCACATGTTTAAGTGCTTCCTTTAGACTTGTTCGTTCATTGATTTTTCACTTTTCTTGTTAATGATTTATTGCTTTGTGTGCTCAGGTGACGGTAATGTACCTCTCTCTCTCTCTCTCTAGTTGCATGGTTCAGTCAGATCTCTACGTTCGCACCCCTCTTGACTTGATTAATGTGATCGGGGATGGAGGGGGAGGTCTGCAGGTTGTTCTGGGTGAATTCAACAGTCACATCAAGGGTAAAGAAAGATATTTCAAAAAAAGTGTGGTTAATAACAGCAAAATTCAGCCGATTTAATCGAAAGTCAATTCACAAGAAAATTGTCCTATTGTCAGAATTTTCCTCGAAATAACTGCCATTAGCGTCAACTATAGCCTCAATTTGGCCTTGGAACCTGGAGAAAGTTTACTCCACACGGAGTCCAAGGCATACACAGTGGTCCTTTGGGTGAAGATCTTGGATTGTAGGCGGGGGGGGAGGGGGAGGGGTGGAGTTCAGGGGG